CACCACAGAGTCACCGCAGTAGACGTTAGATGAGCGCTGTCGCTCCGCGGCACTTGTTTATATTATTTTCTATTGTTTGGGATTGGATGCGATGGGATGGGATGGGGTCGGATGCTATGGGATCGGATCGGGTCCAATGGGATGGCATAGGATGGCATGGGATGGGATGGGATAGAAGAAAATGGGATGGGATGGCATGGGTGGCATGGGGTGGCATGGGATGGGATTGGATGGGATAGGATGAGATGGGATGGGATGTCATGGCATGGCATGGCATGCCATGCGATGGATGGAGGGCTGGCTGGATGGATGCATGGATGGATGGATGGATAGATACAAAGATAGATAGATAGATTTTGGGGTATTTTCCTTTCAACGAAGTGGTCACCAACTGAGCACTTTTTCCCAGCTCACTTATAGAATTGCGCTGTTTGTTTCTTCCCAAAATGTTTTTTGTTTCTGTTTTCTTTTCAGTTGCATGAAATATTTAACTTCAACTGTGTCACTTACATGAAGTTTATTTTTTTACATGAAGTTTATATTTGGTAGTTGTACAGGTATTAAAGTCTGCTAGTACAGTATAACACACAGTACAGGACCACATGCACAGGAGCTAGTAATTTTTCAGCCTAACAATTTTATCCACTTAATTTGTTACTGCATGTTAAATTCTGCCGCAGAGCTATCTTCTAAGGGCAGTGCTTTTTAAACTGGTGAATGGCTCGCCCAAGGGTGAATACAATTATGTTGGGGTGAATGAAAATGGGTGAAAAACATAATAAATATAATAATAGTAAATAATATAATATAATAAGTATAATAATAAATATAAGGAAATTTAGTCGCGGGTGAATGAAATTTTGTGATAAAGACTCCAGCGTGAATGACACTGAAATAGTTTAAGAATTATTTTCTGTAAAGGCACTGTTCTAGGGTATACAAAATGTGGCATTGTTCGCCCAGCCAGCGGGTGTCACTAGCAAAATCGGTTTCGCACGTGATTTAGAACGCATATAATAACTATATTTATTCCCGTTCACATTACCAACATTTTCTATTCACGCAGGCTTTCCAGCGGCCCTAAAATTCCTAAAAATTCCTAAAATTTTGAGCTCGCCCTAAAATTCCTAAAAAAACTAAAAATGTATGCAATTCCTAAAAAAGGGCTAAAATTTTAATCAAATTCCTAAAAAAAAAATTCACAGATATGTTTGGAGTTTCTGGTGATGAGATGATGAACTTTTGGTTTGTAATTATGTCTAATGCAGGTTCTCCAACCATTTTTCATTCTGCGGAATCATTACGATTTCTAGGCCTAATTTCCGCATTCTGCAGGACAAGGTTATATTCCTCATTTCAGTTGCACTGTACAAAATTTGCACTGATTGTTCGCATTGTTCGCTTGGACACATTTTTTTTTTTCAGGCAATTTGTATCTGGCATGTCTACGGTAAATGGAATAGCCTAGTCAGACAGGCGCTGTCTGCAAGGTGTTGCGTGGTTTGTCTGCTAATCAGACAAGGGTTGTAGGGGTCTAGGGTTGAGATAGCGTTATCAGACATGAGAATATGGCCCACAGTATGCCTCAGAATGCAGGAAAATGGCTTAAATATTTCAAATTTTTCTGGGGGGGGCATAGGGGGGCCCCAGACCCCCCTACCACTGGCATGCCTACGGCACGCGGGCCTGCCTGCGGCAGCCAAGGTACATTTCCCCCCCCCATCAATTTCTGAATACGACACTAGTTACTGATCACCGCGGGAACATTTCGCATTTGGAGTCCACAGGGTTGGAGACCCTGCTAATGGATGTTTTCTAGTTATCTTTATACAGAGTAAGTATTGTACAAGACATGCCTAATTTGCATGAAACTTGATGATGTACGGTCGTATCGAGGACTTGGAGGATAGGAATAGCTGGTAGACTGGAGTGGTCACATACCACATAGAACAGTATCTGTAAGTTAACACGTGAGTGGTGATTGAAAGTAAGCTGACTTAAGTTTTATCCTAAAGTTTCGATTCAGTCCCTAAAATTCTAAAATAGCCCTAAAAAAACCTTAATTTCTCCCTAAAATTAGCCCTAAAATTTTGTCGAGGACTGCTGGAAAGCCTGTTCACGGGATCAACATTCTCATTGTCATGGGTATTCCCATAGTTCTTGGTAGGCACAGTATACAGACAATCACAGTACGCGCAACCACATATTTTCGTGCACTTATCAATCTTGTCTCCGGAGTAATAGCCATAGGACAACGTTCCAACCGAGGAGCCAAGTGGTGCGTCTTTGTGTGTCGGCGTATGGCTTTGTATAGGCGTCGGACTGAGGCAGAGAAACTTGAACCATTTGTATCTTATCGGATAGCCACACTCGCAGTTGTGACAGTGGCAGGAGGCACGGCACCACGCTCCTATCTTGCCACTGTTGTGGTTTGTGACCGGGACGCAGACGTGAGAGTGGCCACCGAATTGCAAAGACAGCGCAATCTGAAAAAAACAAGATGTTTGTTTATATATATATATATATATATATATAGTAATATATAAGTTATTTATTTATCTATCTATATATTCAGTGACCGTACATTGGTAAAAGTAGGATATGAGCTTGCAAGATCTACACCGTCATTGCACTACAAAGTGCTAGTTTAAATAAGTGACACATTCATAGCAACACGCGTTACATATCTAATACTGTAACATGAATGCCACAGCAACTGGTGAAAGCAACTGATATACGTACGGGGGAGCAGCACACATACTATTACATATAACCACACTGAGATACTAAAAACCGTATATTGATTACTAAATTTAGGTTAATAATTACTTAATTCCTAATTTCATTACTGCAATAGTCACATTAAGCACTAAGAAAGCTGTCCAGGTAACATAACAACAAATGGCGATTCTACACAGACAATAATAGACAATAGACACAGCTAATTAAGCTGTAACACACACAATACACGTAACAATACATGGCTTTACAACAAGGCAAGTGATACATGCGTTAAAAGTGAGATATACACACAGGAACAAATAAAACAACTAAAATGCTAAAAAATATGATAATGATAGATCAGTCAGAGATTAAAGACAGGAACAGCAATTATGCGTTAAACATTGCAGATTTGTGCTGTCACAGGGGAATAATGCTGCATCTAATAACAAACATCAGCCCAAAAGATAATAATTGGGTCCGCTCTAGGAATATAAGAACACTGCAATCCCATGTGAAAGTTATCTCTAAGATATAAACGATCCTAATAACAATCCTTATACCCACACACACGCGCACGCATGCACGCATGCACACACGATATCTATATAATTATACAGAAAGTGTTAGATGTATAATAACAACATAAATATGGTAGTGTATACAGCGGTTATTTATGACAGTATCAGCAGTGTCATAATATAAATTAGATAGAATAGTTTATCTTATGACATTCCTGATAGTATTTACGTGTATCTGACAAATCGCCCCCCCTCCCTCCCTCCCGCTAGCTGCCGACCTGTATTTGTTACCGAATGGCTAAATTCGTATCAGCTACCGTATCAGCTAAACTCTAACCTCAATAAACTAAAATAACATTGGAATTGTAGTAATGTCATTTGTAAATTTATATGTTCAAATTTGGGGTCTCACACGTTTTGTGCTCTAATGGTCAAAACAAACAAGCAACTGACACATTTTCAAATGTGCTCTTGTGCTTTTTGTAAACTTACGCATGTGAATATCAGGAGAGCGGTCAGGATGTGTCCAGGTTTCATGCTTGTCCAGTTGTTCGCTTGACAGACCACATCTGAATATGTAACATATGAAATATATAAAATATATATGAAATATATAAGACGAAACGTTGTAGCTTTTTCGCGGTGTTCTTAGCGTGCATCCATGCGTGTATGTGTGTATACGCGTGCATCCATGCGCGTATGTGTGTATACGCGTGCATCCATGCGCGTATGTGTGTATGCGCGTGCATTCATGCGCGTATGTGTGTATGCGCGTGCATTCATGCGCGTATGTGTGTATGCGCGTGCATCCATGCGCGTATGTGTGTATGCGCGTGCATCCATGCGCGTATGTGTGTATGCGCGTGCATCCATGCTCGTATGTGTGTATGCGCGTGCATCCATGCGCGTATGTGTGTATGCGCGTGCATCCATGCGCGTATGTGTGTATGTACGTACATCCATGCGCGTATGTGTGTATACGCGTGCATCCATGCGCGTATGTGTGTATGCGCGTGCATCCATGCGCGTATGTGTGTGTACGGGTGCATCCATGTGCGTATGTGTGTATGCGCGTGCATCCATGCGCGTATGTGTGTATACGCATGCATCCATGCGCGTATGTGTGTATACGCGTGCATCCATGCGCGTATGTGTGTATACGCATGCATCCATGCGCGTATGTGTGTATGTGCGTGCATCCATGCGCGTATGTGTGTATACGCATGCATCCATGCGCGTATGTGTGTATGTGCGTGCATCCATGCGCGTATGTGT